ATGACTGCGGCCCTGCATCATTTAATAGGGAAGATATGTCACGTATACCTTGACGACATCATCATCTGGTCCCAGACAATTGAAGAACATGAGAGGAACATTCGTCAGGTACTGGAAGTATTACGAACGGCCCACCTGTATTGTTCAATAAAGAAGACATCACTCTTCAACACAGAAATCAACTTCCTAGGGCATCACATCTTGGGACGAGGAATCGAGGTGGATAGCTCCAAGGTAGCTTGTATTCTGGATTGGCTGCGACCTCACAAAGCAACACATGTTTGCTCGTTCCTGGGAATCATGCATTATCTGGCAGAACACCTACCTGATGTGGCACAACACACTTGGATCCTTACAGCCTTGACGACTAAAGCTGCTGAGTTGAAGTTTCCTGCATGGACGAAGGAACACGAGACTGCCTTCAACGCCATAAAGGAACTGGTGGTAAGTCTGAGGTGTCTAATGATGATTGACCACAACAATGCTGGAGAAAACAAAATCTTTCTGACGTGCAACGCATCCAACTACACAACTGGTGTGATGCTTTCATGGGGTCCAACATGCGAGTCTGCTAGGCCTGTTGCCTTTGACTCGACACAGTTGTGCACAGCCAAGCTTAACTATCTGGTACACAAAAAGGAATTGCTGGCGATTATCTGGGCGCTAAAGAAGTGGTGTTTAGAACTTCTGGGTGCACACATCAACATCTATACTGACCATTGTACCCTAGAGAATTTCCAAAATCAATGCAACCTGTTGAGACAACAAGCCCGCTGGTCAGAATACATGTTGCAATATGACATCACGATCCATTATATCAAGGGCAAGGATAACAAAGTGGCAGACACGCTGTCATGATGGAGGGGTTCAGACATGGTAATAGACACATGCGCAGCCTTACTGACTATTCAAGGCGACGCAGCACTGCAAGGGCGGATTCTCCAGGGATACAAGGAAGATCCTTGGTGTCAAAAGCTGAACAGTCTTGTCAACTCCTTACCAGGCCTGCGGAAGGAGAGTAATGACCTATTCTACATTGCAGACCGTCTGGTGATCCCATGCATTGACAATCTCAATGAGCACTTGTTTCATGCCGCTCATGATGCTGCTGGCCATTTTGGGGCAGATAAGTTGTATGCCTGTTAGGTACCATGCCGGGCTCAAGAAGCGGAGGGGTCGGGGCTTGGCTTCAGCTCTTGCGCTGCACCCTTAGCCAAGTATGTGCCCCAAATTTGGAGCGGGTCTGACATTGTCTGATGGTAGGACAAGTAGACTGCTTTGGTCCACTTTGAGGGTTGGGAGGTAAGCGCTACTAGCGGTGGGCCAACTAGGAGTGGAGCGGAGAGGGCGGAGGATAGTGCGGAGGGTGGATAGGAGCAGAGGGGGGTGATTGATAGAGGCAGAGAAGTAAAGGGGAAGACTTAGAGCACGGCTCTAAGTCAGAGCGGAAAGTCAGAGGTGACAACAAGATGAAACTTGTGTCTGGAGGAGGCAAGGTCCTACTGAGAATTCTCACAAGTAGAAACTGCAAGAAGACAAGTAATATTAAGACTGAGGAAAATATCTAAGTACAGGATATGTTATTGTCATGAATGTTCAAAACTGCATCTAAATTTCGATTATCGAACCCTAAGTCACCTATCCGATAAGATTAGATTAGATAAGATCCCTGATAAGATAAGATAAGATGGATAACCGATTAACGATCACTATCTTCAATTCACATCTATACTACATCGATGTCATCCATCTATATCCGTAACCCTAGATATCCGAAGACATCACATCCTTAGAAGTCCTACAATTAGGCAACCGGCTACATCATAAGCATCTACACGCCTCTATGATCAAACCATAACCGAGAGTCCTTTACAAGCCATCTCTCGAAGAGTCATCATCCCTTCACATCGCAGACCTTCACTTCTCACACATGACATGTTAAGAGTTACCTCTGTCATTCACCGAACCCCTTACATAAGAACCTGTTGCACAGTCACAGCTACATCCCTGAACCCTATCACAGAAGCGCCACTCATAGAGAAGCATGCTCATTACCAAAGACCCTGGAGAAACCCTAGATCTGATCGTCCCGATACATCTCCAGATCCTATTTCCTATCGAGATCCTTAATCACCGCTCGAGACTTCTTGTCACAGAACTCTCTCACCCTTCTTCATTTCCGTTGACCCTGAATAGAAGCAGACCCTGCTTAATCTCCGATACCCCTATGAACCCTTAACCCTTTCTTGTAGTTGATTGGTTGATAAGACGCCCTAAACCCTAGGCGCAATGTTATGATCTTATATAGATATATCACTACCTTTCATACTCAGATATCTCCGCTTAGAGAGTAGTATATAGTCTAGGTCGTAGTCAGTAGTACTCCTTAGACTTAACCTCTTCGTTCCTACCTTGTGTAGACAGAGACGTTCACTCTCAATACATCTATTCTCTTATCCTTGACGAGTCCTAGTGGTTGTGGGATACCTTTGCCAATCGGTGAACGTTGATCATAACAGTTATATACTTCTAAGTGTGAGGCAGTGATTAGGAGAACTATGTTGTAAAGCTATGTACCAAGGATATAATTTGTAAGTACTTACACGGGCGAAGACATAAGTCGGAGCGGATATCAATATGTACGCATCGGATCCATGATTGAGCAGTAAGAGGAATTACCAGTGATCCGGAAGTAAGGGTCTATGTACCAAAGGGGAAAGTATATGTCTAAATGGGGAAAGAGGTTCCAGTTGAATGGAGACATTATAGAAGGGGACCGGTTGGGTGGTTGAGCGGAAGCATAGGAGCGGATGCGGAATGATGATTGGACAGAGCAGAGGACGGATGGAGATAGTCCGACGCAAGTTCTATGAGCTCCGACAGGATGTCGGAACAGAGGTCCTCTGAGGGAGGACTGGTGGACTACTAGGTGAGTGCGGGAAAGTCGGGCAGGGGTTGTTCCGCCCGACAGGAGGGAGGCAGGAGACTACTGTGGTCGGGACCCAACAGTAGAAGCGGGGTGGAAGGGACTGCTTGGACGAAGTCCAAAGCAGAGTGGAACAGAGGGGATGGATGTGAGAGTGCGGAGTTTAGCTCCGATGCGCAGGAAGTCAGACGAGTGGAGGAATGGAGGAATGGAGGGTGGCTGGCCTAGGCCAGCTAACAGGAGTTGACTAGGATCAGGCCCAAGTCAAAGAACAGAAGAGCAGGGCTTAGAAAAGGTAATATTCAGACTGAGTATCTACAGACAATTGTACATATGTTTATATACTCTAAGTGATGATCATAGCATAGCAGAAGGCTATGTGCTGAGTGTACAGGATTACAATAGGATGACTGAGACATACGAGAATAAGGCTTGGGGAACAGTATGTACGCGACAGGATCAGAATTGCTAGGGTATAGGGATTACTGGTGATCCGAAAAGCAGAACTATGATACTAAATGGGGATAGGACCAGTTGAGTGGTTCCTAGTCCAGGAGTGGACTGGTGAGGTGGTCGGACGGACTAATAGTTGGGTGGGACAAGACGAGCGGAACCGAGCGGGTCGGAAAAGCGGAGGGAGTAGGAGTAGGATTGGGTGGACCGATAGGGTGGAGGAGCAGAACCCCAGATAGGGTCGGATGGAAGGGGTATAATGTCGGAGGACATAGGGGTAGTGTCGGAGGAGCGGAATGGGGTCGGGCGGAGGTAGCAGGGCTAATCCTGCTGAGATGCACTTCATGCATTGTCGGAGAAGGAGGAATGGAGCAAACGTGGAAACAGGGAGTCGGACCAGGGGTGGGGATGTTCACAGGTGGTATTGGAGGTGCTTGGATCCAGTATATGACACCTACCTAGGGAGATCATGTCCGACCATGATAAGATTTTTTTATCAAAATTCTGGCATGCGTTACACAAGCTGACTGGAATTAAGATGAAAATGTTGTCTACATATCACCCCAAAATGGATGGAGCTAGTGAATGTACCAACAAGACCGTTAGTCAGTGTTTGCACTACTACATTGATCAGAACCATAAGGGTTGGGTCCATGCTCTTCCCCAGGTGCATTTTCATATCATGAATATGGTGAATGCCAGTACTGGCTTTGCACCTTTTCAGCTGCATCTCGGACGATTACCACGCATGTTGCCACCTCTAGTGGATAACAGCATCTCTCATGCTAGCGGATCTGAAGCAGAGCGCACATCATTGCTGCTATCACAGCTGAAGTACAACATCATGGAAGCACAAGATAACCTCCTCACAGCAAAGGCCGCTCAGGCAATTCAGGTGAACAAGAACCATGTGCTCACTGTTGTCTTTCAAGCAGGAGACCACATGCTGCTCACTGACCAAACACCATCAACAGTGAATATATCCAGAAAGGCGACAAGCATGTCGCAAAGTTCATGCCAAGATACGACAGACCCTACATGATACTTGACACTCATCCCAAAACATCCACATACACTGTTAGACTTACCAAATTCCCCCAACATCTTCCCTACATTTCACATCAGCCAGCTACGCCCCTACCACAAGAACGATGCAAGCTTGTTTCCCACATGAGAACTCCCACGTCCAGGACCTGTGGTAACTGCAAATGGTCAGCTAGAGAACTTCATCAAGAAGATCATTGACGAATGAAAGGTGGGACGAGGAAAGAAGTATTTGGTCCGTTGGGTTGGCTTTGGTGAAGAAGACGACAAATGGCTACCTCGACAAGACTTAGAAGACTGCGAGGCATTGGATGCTTGGGAGACGGAGAGATCAAAAGGATAGTGGGGAAGGGGGCAACTTCGTCATGCGAAGGGGTGGACCAAAAATGGTCTCACGTGACACCAAAATGGTCGTGCACGTGAGGGACCATTTGCGACCATTCAACAAAGTCACGTGATATATGGTTGGTATGAAGGGAGAAGGGGAACAGTAAGTGCGGGAGGGAGGAGGAGGAGTGCGAAGCAAAGGGCGAGGCTAGATAGCGAGGAGATACTGTAATATACAAGATGTGAAGCATTAGTAGTGATAAAGGAACCAAAGCGAGAGCATTTGAATTGAAAGATTTAAAAAAATTACTACTGAGTCCCAGTGCTCCTGGAGGTACTCAACACGAAGGTGCTTGATGCCGTTGTGCACAGTCAGCAGCGCATCCGGCGTTGATTCATCAATCTCAAGCTCCTCGTACAGCTTGAATAGCACCGTGCCTGATTCTTCGAGTGTCGTTGACCAGTCGAGCAGCATCATCGCAAAGGCCTCCTGCTCGAGGGCAGGACTTTCACCAGAAGGCCAGAGGAACACTTGCTCGTATATTGACTTGACGGTTTCGAGGAAGGCACGCGGATGGAAGCGCTTGCCTTCAGAGAATATGCCTGGTGGCTGTGGCCAGGGTGGAGGCGCCTCGGTTTTGGACACCTGCTTGGCGCCGTCGGCACAAAAGCCCTGTCTGTGGTTGTACCCCGAGTTCTCGGGACCGGGGTACATGATGGTCTTGCAGCGGGAGCATGTGTGTGCCTTGCGAATCTGTAGATAGAGAGTGTGAGCAAGCACGAAATAGATGAGAAAGGACTTGCGCACCTTCTTCCCAAGCCCAGGCTCGGCCTTGATGAGCTCAATAGCGTGACAGTGCCTTCTCCAGAAGGACTCTGAGCCAGAATGAGCTGTATTGTAGTGTTAGCACAATGAAAAATGTCAGTGAGCGACTGGAAACTCACATTTGAAGTCATTTTTTGCGACACGGTTCATCACGGCGACCTCGATCTCGCCGAGCTTTCGCAGAAGGGCCTGGGGGTTCTTCTTCACCGTTTCGGAACCATTGGCGTGGTTCTTCTCCTCGAGATGGTTGTTGTAGGTCTCGGTAGCTGCAGCCCACTGTTTGGGTGTCATCTTGAAGGAGATCCACGCAAACTCGGCTCTCATGTCCATGAACAGGTGGAATTCGACATCGCCGGAGATGTGCATGGCACAGGCATCGATTCTCGTCGCAATGGTGAAGAAGTGTTGAGAACGGGTCATTCCTGGGGGCCTCGGAATAGGTGTGAGAGCGGTGGTACCAGCAACTGGGTTTGGGGGAGTGGAACTGGGTGTGACCGGCGCGGGAAGCTGACACTGAGTGCTGGCGCCAGCATCTGTCGGCCATTGTGAGGGAGCTTTGCAGTAGGGCAGCCGGCTTCTTGGTTTCAGGAAGTGGTCCAGTGTGATTGATGGAGAAATCCCCTGTAAATGCGGATCAGAGGAGGGTATAATGGGAGTGGAGGGGGGGAAATGGGAGAGAAAGAGTGTGCTTACCTGTGATGCGGCAACTTCTGGGACATTAACACTAGCGGCGGCCGTCATATGCCGCATGATCTTGCGGGGTGGCCTGCACGCTGCTGGCCTGGCCTGGCCAGAATCTTCAGGTTCATTGTCATCCGCCTTGCGCTTTGTTGTTGGTTGCGGTTGAGTGTTTGCTGTCATGACGGCCAAATGAGAGTTGGCCTCGCTAGTGTCAGTGACTTCTGCGACTGTGGGAATTGTGGTGGTTAGTGAAAGCTGCGCATCGAAGGGGGCCTGAGGCTGGGAAAGAAGCTGCGGGTCAATGTTGAGCTCTTCAAGTATTTCAGACCTCGCAGACTGCAGGGCAAGGTCAACTGCATCATTGCCTTCGCCACTAAGTGCCTCAAGAAACTTTGGGCCAGTCATATTGAGCTCGATTGGTGACTCTTCCGCCTTGACATCCAGTAGCCCACCAAATGTGGATGCAAAACTCGATTTGACGAGCCCGAAGTGCTCCTCGGACGTGGTCTGAATGAGCTCTGGCAGGCAACATGTGCTGGTGGTCTTCTCTTCGAGTCGGAGGTTGTTGAATTGCTTTGCGATCCTGTCGATGAGGTGAATGTGATGAGAACCATGAGTTGATGCGACAAAGTCTGATTTTCTCGCCCTCAAAAAGGAGACGCGGATGTTTCGTCGAAGAACGAAGTCGTGGCAAAGGCCCGTGAATGTCACAATCCCGCTGGTGTGCACACGCTGGAGTGAGTTCCACCCTTTGTGCGACCCCTCCACACGGCTTCCATCTGTTCGTATGTCCTGCCGCTGGCGTTCGAGGCAGCCTTTCTGTACATGTTTGAGCTGTTCCTCGTGAACCTGAAATTGATGTTAGTGTGAAACGGACTTTTCTGGGACGAGTTACTCACTTTGCGTGCCCCCACTGACCAAACTGTGCCTTCACATGCCCATTTGTCGAACGTCGAGGTAAGTCTCGTCTCCTGCTCATTTCGGTCCCAGTACTTTGCGGGATTCCCGCCTTCAGCATGTTTCTTCAAGATACAGGCAGAGATCTCCACGACTACCTCTTTCCGGTGGGGATTCTTGGAGGGATTAAGGATAACAGTCGCATATCTTGCTCTTAGGATTAGTTTGTAGACTATTAGATGCAAATAAAGATGTACTCGCCTCATAATGAAATGCCAGACATCCAGTTTCATTGTGGCATCAGGGAAAACAACAGACACAGCATTGCGAACATGGCAGCAGTTGTCGGCAACAAATACTTCAGGTGGAGGTACATCCAGAGCCTCGCATCGCGTCTTGAGGCCTTCGAGAAGTTCGCTTATCTCGGCATTTGACTGACCGTGACAGAAGCGCTAATATAGATCAGTCAGTAGGTGCCGTCTCCAGTCTCATTCAGTTGACCTACCCAGCCCACAATCTCACCATTCTCGTTCATCAGACTTATAATCCCTCCCTTCAGGACCTTCAGCTTCTGCTTCTCTCGGCTGGTGATGGTTGCTTTTCGTAGCGGCACGGAATGTGTTGTCAAATGAAATGCTTATACCTACTCAAGCGCTGGTGAGTGTCAAGCACTGATAGTAGAGCAATTTCTTACCAGAGAGAGTGCGAAGATATTCCTCTGACTCCCTTTCCCGCGTTCCTGACACAAACTCCTGGAAGATCTCGCTGACCATGTCATGCGAGATCGGCCTCGCATTGTACTCTTTTACGTCGTAAGGATCCGAAAATGCCCGAAGTGGATTTGGGCTGAAGAAATCCATCCCGTGTCGTGTCGTTCGACGCTGACTTCCAAGCTTGAAGGTATTCCAGCTTCCGCCTGTTGTACTCAAGCAGATGAAGTTCTTTAGAAGGTGTGTGTTAGCGCAGTGTTTGAGAAAGTAGAATAGTGGTACTCACGTCGGATGTTTTCAGCGAGAGTTCCTGCAGTAGATGATGGGCGCAACTCAACAACTAGATCAAACAGCTCACGACTAACAGCACATCTGTAGAAGAAGATTGGTACGTCCGCTGCCGGTGAATGTGACTTAGCCCGCTAATCAACAATCACCAGCCAAAATTGATCAAGCTCACCTGGAATGGACCAATGGGACCAATTGCGCCAGAAGTCCGGATTCGTTGTTGCGAAGCAGTGTCCTTTGAGGTGCGTCTTTCCATTATGCTCACAGTCGCTTTCTAGGCCCTTCTTACTTGTTGGATCAGTTCTGCAACTCTCACAGCGGAGCTGCATGCCTAATGCTGCCTCATCAAGCATTACTCCATGGACATCCCGAGGACCAGTCCCAGTCCACCCATCCCACGAAACACCATCCCTAGAATCGCATCGCGGACATCTTGCAAGCTCAGGGTGGTAGAATGGATGTATGACGCGAAGAGGCTTCAAGTACAAGACTTCTGGGTTGACTGCAGGCTCAGATTGATTGCGCTTTCGGGCATGGAGGTAAGATGGTGGCAGAAAATGAGGGCCAAGTATTGGAATCCTGCTGTCCAGGCATGGTCGCGTGAGTGTTTTCACTGATCGTATTCGTGTCTTCTCCGAGATATAGTTGATGTACTCAATCACTTCAGCCTCCCATTCACACTGGCGCTTGGGTCTTGGATTGGCCATTCGCTCTGTATGTCCTGTCCATGACCCAACGCATTTTTTCACCTAGCGCAATGGTCATTAACAGGTCAGTGTCAAGATGTGAAGTTCTGCATGCCTATTGCTTACCTGCGTCTTTCCAGTTTGCCTCGAATTTTTTCTGCCTGTCCTTTGGCTCCAGCATTGACAGCAGTTTGCGCACCATGTCTGGTTCATAGACGGACATGATTCTGCCGAGTCTCCAAGGGCTCTGTGTGTGGAAGGGATAGCAAATGTAACTAGTATTGTAAGGGTAATGAAAAAACGATTTTTTTTGCAATTAGGGGCCGCTTTTTGCGCTTGACTACTTCACCGCACTACTAGTGTCCGAACTCGAGTTGAATCAGTCTACCTGAATATTCCATATAACTGCCGTGCCAAGTCACCGTCAAAATAAATTCTATTGTTCAAGCGTGATTGGTGGGCTGAATGAATTCAATTAAAGGCTCAAAACTGACAACTGGTGCTACTGCATACTACGTAGTTCAAACCTACTATATGGCTCCACATCTCCACCACGTCCCTCCGTCAAAGTCTACAACTGGGGTTGGGGTGCAACCTGCAACTATCAAATCCGAAAGTACTGAGACAGCCTGTCCAATTGTTCACTGGCAACGGTTTAGATGCTGTATCTGTCAGAGTTCACCTGAACTCACAGATTCACACCGAGGATATCGAGCAGTTTGTGCGGTTCGGATTTGATGAACAAGTCAAAAGCCTTGCGACTCGTTCAGGGGTTTCAAGTAGCAATGGTCCAAGACATCTACAAACATGTTAGCAACTTCAAACGGTTGAAGAAAGTTATCAGGGCCATGCGTGCCTCTGCAATAGAGCGCGCTAAAGCCGAGATTGAAGCGCAGGAGATGGAGGACTTGTATGCCAGCGAGTCTGACTCGGAGGATGACAGGGGCAAGAATGACGGAGGAAAGGACACTGATAAGAAGCGAAAGTTTGGTGAGTAAACTTGAGCAGAACTTGAGATACATACATACAATGTATTAACTATTGAATTGTATTGAACCGAAATTTCCAGAGTCGGAGAGTTCGGAGAGGTCAACGTAAGCACTGGACGGTGTCTTGCAGATTCGGGAGGCGCAGGAAATGAGGTTTGTCACCGTTAAATAAATCTGTGTGTGAAGTACGTACCTTAGGGCATCACAGACCTCTCAGGGCCTGTACTGTCGAGACGGCGAGCAAATATCTGCTGCCTTGAAGTTGTAAATGAATAATCTGTGTGACAGTGTGAAGTACGTACTTTTGGAGCATCACTGCATCAATAAAGACCTCTCAGGGTCTGTACCGTCGAGACGGCAAGCAAATGTCTGCTGCCTTGAAGTAAGTTGCAGCAGCACATGAGAATAGGGTACGTACCTCGAGACTGCTCCTTTCAAAGTTCAAACAACCCCTTCGCGAGACCTCCGATCTCCGACAGAGCGACCCCTTCGCAGCTTCCCGCGCGCCTGCGGCGCGAGGACCCCTTCGCATGACCA